CGAACAATAAAAATTCCGTCTAAGCGGCAGGCAATGTTACCGTGCGATCAGCCAGCAGCACATTTGCGGCCAAGCGAGCGGCCAGCAATGTGTCCGTTTGATAGGACGACAAAACCCGTGGTCCAAGTGGCCGACCGTAACCTTCATTTTCTCCTCGTAGTTGTCACACGTTGTGAGCCTAAACGGTACCTGCGTGAGATACGATGCAACGTTTAGGCTGCTACTCAGACAGTAACTCGGACGAGCGGCGGACTTTAATGGATTTGCGGGCGAGCGGCAAGCTTTGATTTGTGGGCGTGGTTTTCTTGCGGACGAGCGGCGTACCGTCGCTACCGAGCCTGCAAGCGGTGGACCCTGATTTGACCAGCGGCGGCCCATCCCCTCGAGCGGGTGGGCGGCGCACCATTAACACGTTAATCCAACTTGCCATCATTTCCATGCGCGAGTCATTCTCATTTAGTGTTATTGCGGCCTGATGGCGGTCAACTAGCAGTGTCCTCAAAACGATAAGCAGGTAAGTATGCTCAGACTATTATGGCGAGCACCCGCCGACCACCCACGGACGACGCCACGCCCATCTCGAGTACGCGCCGATAAGTGCCTGGCAACCACCCGACAATGCGCAGATGACCCGATAAGCTCCCGAACAACGGCAGCGGTGGCCCTGGAAGCGCCCGATTAATGCGAAGTATGCACCCGCGGGTTCCCCATTACACCATATAGCAATAAAGCTCATAAACATTATTCCACTTTTGAAGTTTTTTCGAAGACTTTCATAATTTTTCGGAATCCTGTTCATATTCTTTGGCCATGCATGAAAGTTACAATTACTATACCAAAGTTTCCGACGCCCACCTAATTTCAGGACCAAGTAGTCCTATAGGGCTCAATCGGGACCCGAGACCCTATCCGCTAGGAATTTGACGCCACTTGACTTTTGCCAGACGACACAAATGTTGAAGGTAGCCCTATCACCGCGGCGCATCTCACGCGAGTAGCATTCTCTCCTAAGCATGCATTGATTGTAGCGTCCAGCAAGACCCTGGCTCGCCCGAGTGTCTTTTCTTAGGCCGCGGTGTTCCGATAAAACTTTGGATTCCCGCAGCCTGTCCCTAGCGATAACATTAAGCCGCGGGTGGCGAAGAAAATAAATCTAGGGCCGCAGATGGTCAGGATTTTAACGCCCTCGCACCGCTGAAAAGTACCGTTAGGGGCTGCGAGTGCTCACAATAATTGTCTGAGGTGTCTGCCCCACTCAGGGGTTCGTGCCTTGCGAGGGGTCATCCTACCTCAAACACGGCCGCGGCCTCAAAAGGCCTCCGCCCTGCCCGCGGCTTGATTTGATCATTTGCAAGCAACTGTGCGTTCTACAAAGTGCATTCAGATCACGGAACCCCCCGAAAAAATTCAGGAATTCTCCGTGCGAATGAACCAAACCGGAGGGAGAAACAAAGCATTAAAAACCTCCCAGAAGAGATTGAGAAAGTGTTGAAAGGTAAAAGACAAATTAGTAGGGGCATGGTTTGACATTATTACCAATATTTAGATTTTGGAGAAGATATGCTGAGTCTTGGGCATAATGAATTAAAGCCCTGGATGGACATCAATCTCGAAGATTCTAAGTGAGCTCTTAAAGATCGAAAGTTAGCAAATAATTTATTAAAGGTTTTACAAGAATCTAGGAGAGACGAATAGAGAAAGAGACAAAAATTCAAATGAATTTATACAGGGCAGAAGGACTGGCGACCTCACCTATTTGAGTGTCTGCAAATTGCACTGTCGTTTGAGAAAATCGGTTTCACCATTCTACATATTTCTCAAATTTAGGAGAAATGTGCGGTCTTGCAGTTTCGAGTCGGGGAGATGGGTCCCCAGCGATGTGAGGTTTTGGCACCGAACAGTGCATTTTTCGCGCATGTGTGAATGCGTTCTTGCACCTTTTTTGCCCTCGTGAGAATGTGATTTTGTGGTTTATTTTGTTGTTGTTTATTTTCTTCCGGTTTACTATCTTGCGCTGTTTCACTTTATAGCGCTGAGAAAGCTCATCATGATTGGCTTTTGCATGTAGTCAGCTTTTGTAATAAACTTTAAGCCGAATAATTGTTTGTATATATTAGGCTGGAAACAAAGTTTTGCAACTGATTTCATAACTTCACTCTCTTTAGATAAGGCGCACTCAAACTTTGGCGTTATGTAGAAGGCAATGTGAGCTACAAGTGAGCACAAATTGTCTAAATTTTGAACACGAAATAGAAAAGTTTTAGGCGTTTTTCGAAAACTGGTGAAATTTGAGAATTTTTGGGGTTTCAAGCTAAAATGAAGCCTTTGGCAGCCTAGACCATGCGCAGTAATCCGGACACGTCTATAAATTATTGCTGGAGGTCGACTCCTTTGGCCTAGTAAGAAAGAAACAAAATTTAGAGGCATGTCGAGATTTTGCGTCCTCATAAAGTCGAACGAGTCGATGTACGCAAGAGCTGCTGGGGACGTTCGTCAATGACTGAAGAGTCCAAAGCTCAAATTCCGACGAGACTTTATGTAGTAAGGTTATTTGACTTGCCAAACGCGAGTATCACATTCATTTATTGAATCAACGCCTTTTTCCTTGTTTAGGGTGAGACCCCATATCGTACACCTACAGTAATCCTACAAAAAAGCCCTTATCACGCAATTTCACTATCGCTTTCGTGATCAGCATGTCGGATAACATCCCTATGCCAAGTTTCAGCCAAATCCGTCAAACTTTGAATTTTTCCCCTTCACACCATACACCTACCGTAACCCTCACTGCGACGTCAGAATTTGGTAGAACAGCAGCTGCGCTTGTAGCTTACGTAATAACCAACGCAGTGGCAAAATTTGAGTGCGCCATGTTGAGTGAGAGGGAAGTTATGAGACCAGTTGCAAAACTTAGTTTCCAACCTAATATTTATCCTTCTCAAGAATTGAGCCGTCAGCATATCTGTCTGTAGCAAAAGAAAGAGGCGGCTATTAGCGCAACGACAATAAGCTGTTAAATCCATGCAGTCTTCAGAAACAGCCAGCATATCTCTAGAAGGAGAGCGGGACAAGCTATGGATATTAGCCCGCCAAAGGCACTCCGCTCGTCCGGTTTGATGCGAGCGGACGAGCGGAGTACCTTTAGCGGGAGAGTGGAGGGAAGTAAGATAGTCGCAAGCTAACGGTACTCCTCTCGCCCGCTTTATATCTCTAGCGGGCGGGCCGCGTGCCTCTAGAGGACGAGCGGCGGGAGGCATATTCGCCCGCCCGGTAGAGGCCCGCTGCTCGTCCCAGTTATTGTCTGAACTACTGGTCATAATATGTCTGTATCAGCAGGGCGATCTGCACTAACTAGGAGCTCGAGGATGAGTTTATGCATGGTCAGAAGTGTAAGTGCAGACTCCCATCATAAATTCTGGGCCAATGCTGCACGATCCACGTTCCCGGATATAAAGAACAACATTCCCAAAGAGAAGTGAACAAGGTATCTCGTTAACCCAACAGCGAGCGAGCGGCCCAACTTCCCCTCCCAAGCGGAGAGCGATATTATCGTACGTGCTCCACACCTTACCCGTACGATTGGCCCGTGACGACCGCACAATCGCACACACCAACGAGCGTTCGTAAGGTTGCCGCTGGCCGCCCGCACGGCGCGAGTTCCTGAGTGTGGAGTACGCAGGCGGAAGCTCGTGAAACAGATGGAATAGATTTGAGCAAAAAGAAAACGAAGCGAGAATGGAGAAACGCATGAACAGACATCATTTTGTCGGATACGCAGAGCAGAAAAGCGATCATTCTTCAACCCTGTTTCGAGTGCGAAGTTCTGCTGATCAAAAAGGGAAGCGGGGTAGAGGAGTAAGGCCAAAATGAAAGGAATCTAGAAGAAAAACTGTTGAAAACGGTCAAAATTCTTCAACTCCCGCCGTTTGAAACGCGTGCGGGGCGGCTGCAGCGCATGCAGCACAGTTCCAGAACAGTTCCAGCACAGTGCGGGAAGGAACAATTCCGGAACATGGGAGTCAGTATGAATCTAGCCTCATATCCACACAATTTTTTAAACTGCAGTTACTAAAACTTGAGAATTCATGCGCGCTTGCAGAAAGACAGGCTTTTGAACAATCTGCAGATCAATGTGAAGTTTGAATGATTCGCGAAATGATTTCCAATGTAGAATGCAAGCAAACATACCAAACGCATTGAATTGCCAGAAAGTTTAGGCTATTTTCTGCTTTCAACGTTCCTTCATAATTCAGTAACAATTTAGAGATTTAGTAGAAGTTAGTACGATGGGTTGGGGATTCCGTTCACCTTGAGTGCTCAATGGAAACATCGCTCGTACAATGTTGTTGCTAAAGTAGAAGAAATTTTGGCTTCCGCGATGGAAGCCTGCACATCCGATTTCAAAGCTCTATTGAGCAGTTCTGTTGCACCAGCATCAGTCTGACGCTTACCAAGAGAACCTCCTTGCATATTCTAGTGCACTGTCGTATACAACAAAACTCTGCGTTACCAACTTTCTTTCTCTATGGCTCTCCGTTCGTATTTCACTCTTTGCGTGCTTAGACCGAATCGAATCAAACAGAAAAACTGATGGAGTTAGCAATATCAAAGATTTGTTCACTAATCACTTAGCTGTTCTCCAGCATAATCTATGATGTTCACTTATTCAATCACATGTAACGCAAGGTAAAATACTCCCAAAAATGTAGCGATCGGCTTGCCATACGTAGCACCGCCAGAATCTCCTTAAGTGATGCGGTTGTAGGATAAAACGTCTGAGCACTTGTGGAGCTGAACATCGTCTCTGTATGAGTACTTGTAAATTCGAAAACCGACTCATTTCATCTTTTCAGCTACACAGTAAGATGAAGGTACTTCCAATTCTTTTCTTGATGCTAATCCCAGAATACGTTTCGAAAGATAGCGACCCATTTTGGGCATCAGAAATGGTAACGTAAGTTTTGCCAAGATGATCAAGAGACTCGCCCTTGCAGATCAAAATGATGAAAAATGGCAAGCCTGAATCTCCTTTGCATGACGGCCCAGCATTAACAAACATGAGTACGAAAGTGAGCTTCAAAACTTCTTCGAATTTGCTTACTAACTGTTGCTTTAGCTCTTCTATCACATGAACAGGTATTACCAGTTCTTCAAAGTTGGAGATCCCGGACATTATGCATTTGTGCTTGTTTCAACGCATTCATCAATGCTATGGTTCCCCCATGTGAACTGTAGCTCGTGAGTAATGAAAATTTCTGTTGATCATGTGGTTAGTGGATCAAATTCTCAAGTGAAAGTTTATTATAGGAACGCTTGCGAACATTCAGAGAATTTTGATCCAAATGAGTCTACAAGCTTGGTTTTGTCAAATGAGAGATTCAAATCAGTGGACACAGCAGCGAATGCTACCGGCATTCTTGCAAGTGACGATATTGAGGTTGACTTTCATTTTTTTGCCGCTCAAACACTTTGCGGCTCGGTGGGCTCAGCACCCCCTTGCTCGCTCGACTACCTACACATCTGCACCTTCTACCTGCACACCCTAGCGCCGGTTGGTCATTCCGGCACGTCCTACACAACGACCCCGCTGAGTGACAATAAACCACAACAACAAACGCGCAATTGGATTACTCAAATTTATCTGAATAACAAAAACACTACACTACAAAAAAACTAAACTACGGGAAACCTCAAGCTACGGGAAGAGAAAATACGGGACAAATTCGCCTCGTCTCAAGCCGCCAAATATCACCAAGTCAATTCTAAACACGACGCAGGGAATCTTGAGGGTCGACCGCTTACTCGCCTCCGCGTAGGATAGATACGAGCCCTCTTCACTCCCGGTACAACCTTGAATCAAAGCTACAAACTTTCCTCGCTCTTTAGCGCTGCATGATCCAGAATCTCTAGAAAAAATTTCGCTCGACCGTTAAACAACAATTCATTCACGGGAGCTTGCTGGTGTAGCTGCCAAGCACGATCGATAAGAATAGGAAAAATCAGACGATTTTGAAAACGAGGTTACCGAAACCAAAGAGACACATGGCGCGCGTTGCGTGGCTTTATATACCCCTTGACTTGGCGACGCGCCCGGCGAGGAGAGGTCCGGGCGCGAACACAATAGAACGCCCGATCCAGCGGCTTTGGGTGTATAAAGAAACAATAATGCAGTTCTTGAAGTGGCTACAGGGGATATACTTTCGATTGTCTAAAGTCCGCGTTTGGTTTGCATTGATACCGCAAGCATGGAGACCGCCAATCATCGTAGAATTTCTATCATGAAGACCCTTCCTTTTTGCATTTTGCACTGAATACTCCATTGACCAAAAAATAAGCTTGACAATGCTGCACACATTGCAGACAACAGCGACAGACTTCCTAACTTTTGGATCAGTGCTTATCGAGTTAGTGGCAAAGGAGAAATTTGTTAAAATCAGCGTCAAGGTTATTTTTCGGAGAAGGACAGAAGTTAAGCTTCCATAATGCTCTTTCTCTCTCAGTGATCTCCTTGTCTATAAAAATTTTTTTGTTGTTCTTATTTTTAAGACAGAAAAAGGCCTCTAAAAGTCCGTTTCGAAATCGATAGCGATTCTACGGATGTTTTTTAAGGTGGTAACTAATGTCCTTGCATGTTCTTCTATGGAAATTGTAGCAAAGGTTTGAGTGGTAATTGAGAAAAAGTCTGCTTTTTTGTTCATGTTTTATCTATGCGTAGGATTTTATTTTTGTATTGCTTCGAAAAGTTGCCATATATACAAGATTTTGTACATTTATCTGAAAAAGGACCAGTGAAGATCATTCATAAGATCTTTCTTAATCTATCGAGCCAAACAACACCAGTGCATGTTTATGTCACAAGAATACGCTTTATGGAGTTCGAGATATGGAGGAGAAATTCCCCCGGAAAAAATATTGAAAGCAAGCTCGAAATATATACATTATGATCCGACGAGCCAAATAGAAGCAATCCTCTAATATTACGAACAATGTCTGCGAGGTGGAAGAAACTTGTGGATAGTTGCTCTTGCTCTATTAAACGAAAATATCAAAATCTGAAAAAGACTGGAGGGAAAGAAGAAACAAATTTTTGAGTAAAGAAAAGAGATAACAATGGTGATCTTTGAAGATCACGCCACCACCTTTGCAGTTGACGAGTAATTGAAAAAGCATGTAAAAATGAGTTTTATTTACCGAATAGACAATCAGAAAACAACGGAAAAAAAGTGAAAGAACTAGGCATGCTGGCAGTTTCCCTGTGACGGTCTTTGGAAAAGCTTTGAAGTGCGAGAAAGTTTCCTTTTAAGTACGACTATTGCCTCAGAAACTTCCTTTATCTTTCCCTTACATCTGTCTAAGCTTGTAATCCTTGGTCCTTTCTCGGCTGTCATACTCCTTAAAGGCAGTGTCTCACCAGAATTTGATTGTCGAGGTTTTTGCATTTTGCATGCCTGTCGGACCTATACTTGGGTTCCAATCGAATAAAAATTCGATCATTCGAATAAAACATTCGAATATATTCGTATTCGAAATTCGATATTCGGAGTTCTTCCATTTTCGAATAATATTCGAAACTCGAATAATCAAAAAACAGGGTTTCGAATAAAATTCGAAAACTCGAATAATCAAAAAACGAGGTTTCGAATATTATTCGAAAACTCGAATAATTAAAAAATGGGGTCTCGAATAGATTTTATTCGAATGTTTTATTCGAATGTTTATTCGAATTTGTATTTGAATGACTCCGTATTCAGATTATTCGACTTTGTTGCAAAGCCAACTGCTGAGTATCAAACTCACTTCGTCTGCGTTTTTTTTTTCGCAAAACTCGGTAATGCATCTTTTTCAACCGTTATACCTTTGAACTGTATGGAGAGTCGCATTCTTACGACTGCTTGCGACACTAAAAAAATGATAGGTGGATTTTAATTGATGTAGAAAGTAGAGCAAGCCCTTTGCTTTTACATTGTTGATGCTGATAAGAAATAAAGTTAATTTTGGTGTACATCAGTCTCTTTCAGACCATCTGAAGAAGAATCTTTTGGGCACAGCATAAAAATTTATATCGACTGCTTTTTAGATCGTCCATATTGGGTAAAATATGACCTTTTGCTAATGTATAGACTAGATGCCGACCGACCGACTTTATCGATTTTTGGGAAAGTTTGAGCTGCGGGGCTGAGAGTTGGTACAAGGGGGTAAATGAGGGTGCTGATTACGGATAAAAATCTACAGGGCTCCTAAATTGCAGAGTCGTTTGCCCCAGCGGTCGCGCGACCGCGTCGGCCCGGGCATTTTGCCGGCGCCGGCGCCATCGATCGAGGTGGCGCTATTGATGCCCGGGCGCGACGCGGTCGCACGACCGCTGGTGCAAACGACTCTGCAATTTAGGAGCCCTGTACTTTATGAATTTTATCGATTTTTGGAAAATCTCGAGCTACGAGCTTGGGAGTTGGTACAGGGAGTAAATGAGGATGCTGATTAAAACCGAAATCTATTTTATCGATTTCAGCAATTTTTGGAAAATTTTGAGTTAGGAGTTGGTATAGAGGATACTAGGGAGCTGATTATGACTGAATCGGCTTTATCCAGATATGTCGGCAAGTTTGAGATGTGATTGCTTTAGTTATTCGATAAATCATTCGAATATTTATTCGAAATTCGACTTCCAATGTTCGAATATATTCGATATTCATTCATTCGATATTTTTGATTTTCCGAATTTATTCGAAATTCATTCATTCGAAATTTTTCCTTTTCGAATATATTCGATATTCATTCATTCGATGAAAAATTCTCGAATTACCCAAGTATAGTCGGACCCTGTCCAGCACTTGATGGGCTTAAAATTGCACGAAGTTCCCAAGAACCCCGTTTTCTGGAAGCCCCGTGGAAGCAACGTGGACGAGTTGTACCTTCCAACTTCAGCCTCAGCCACAGTGGCAGCAACAGAGGGGAGGTGGATGCCAAGTGGAGGGACATGTTCAAACGCGTAAGGAGGGAGACCGAAGGAGTCGTTCGCGCGTACCAAATCGCTCTCCGCGTACCACTTTGGGCGAATTTTTCTCAGCGTGGAGGGAGTCAAATTGAGTGGGACTTGTTGCAATGGCCTATTTGGAGGTCCCTATAGTAGAGTATGTGGAGATCTGCGCGACCTCAACTTTGGTGAGACACTGCCTTTAAGCACACGCATCTCTTAGGATTGACGCATGAACTAAGATTTGGATACAGCTTGCATTTAAGAAGCCTGGCAGCGGAATACACCTTATTAAGCCTCGGCCTAGTTCCATCGTTCTTTCCTCTTCCATACATTCCATACGCCGCAGCCCACATTAAAGACACTGTTCACCCTAAGTTAGTGGTCTTTAGCTTTTGGTAGTGCTTTCGGTAGTATGCGTTAGTACGACCCATATTGAGCATCAAGCCAAACCCCAGGTCGCAGCGCAAAATGTCACTTCGGAAACAAAAAATTGCTCCGTAATAATGAAGAGGCATGAGGACTTTTAGGTGGAACCGCCCCCCCCCTCCGCTTCCAGTAGTGCCCGCTAACCCCTGCGCCCATTTAGTCATCGTTTTGGAGAACCGGCCTGCGATCTCTCCGAAAGAGGTCGGAATTTTCGTGGATTCTCAACTTTATATACGGAATCAGATATATGAAAAGCCTTCGGAACGGCAAAAACATGGAAGTCGAGAATCTGAGTGGACGGTGATTTTGATGTCTTGGTGAGATTTTGGCTACTTAGGTCACAGGTTCCTTTTTTTCGTTTCCGGAGTGGTTCATCACATCGCTCGAAGTGCTGCCATGACCACATTTCTGCTTTACTTCGCCTTCATATCATCAGGGCTTTCTAGTTTCTAAAGCAGCAACAACATTTCAACGACAGTTTTAAGCATTTCTTAATAAGGCCAATCAAATGATGTAGATGGCGGACTTGCATCGATTATCGCAGCACGTATTGAAGTGTAATTCTTTTTCCAAGACCCGTAAGGTTGTGGTGGGCTACGAATTTGACATACTGGTGCGGGCTGGCAATGACCATCGACTAGAGAATGAGGAAAAATGAGGCAGAAAAAGAGCAGGCAGAGGTGAGTGAAATATTTCTAGAGTAAAGCAGATTTGGAGAGTCTAGAAACACAACCGCTTAGAACCAATGTCCTGATACACTTTTTCCGGATTCCGCTGTTGTACTCCATACCAGCCTTTCTTCGCGGATACTTTCTCTACCTGGCCGCACACCCTTTATCGCACCAAAAGTACCTCCTTCAATGACTTCTTGCAGAGCCTTACTTCAAGATACTTTCATTTCGATTCACCGCATTCCTGTGATGAATTGAAGTAAGAATAAGCTTCAATGCCTTTGTTTGTATGACTATGGCAAAATGATGCAAATGATTGGCTTCATCTAGGTTTAAGTTAAAATCAATTGATCAATAGGAGGGCTTAGTAAATTGCCTTAGAAAGCCTCGACATCTGCCGTGTACAATAAGCACGAACAAGATCAAAGTCCTTTAGTCTTATTGTGTAGACAATAGACACACAACTCATATTTTCCCACACAGCTTTACTATGATGCTGAATCAATATTGATACGGAACATAACCTTTGGGCTTGCCTTGGAAACGCAAACAAACGGAGACGTGAGCATTGACTAGCCATGTATGCTTTCATTTGGTGACATATGTACGTCGCTTAGGAGTATTTATACGGATTGGTCGGCCTCGGATTTGAAAACGTTCAAGGAACGAACACAAAACCGTTTATAATGGAGCTCATTGACCAAGGTATATTACTATATCTTGCTGCACTCTATAAGGTCAAGATTGTAAGTAGCCTTCAATATGTAATTGATTTCATCTTTGTTAACTTAATGCAGTACCAACAGCGTCCTTGAATTTTTATACTTTTCCCAAAGAAGCGCGGTAAAAATTAGTATCCGCTCAACAACATCAAAATTTGGGATTTCAAAAAAGTGAGGTTACGGATGAAACAGAACTTCTACAGAGCTTTCAAAACTTAAGCATTAGTAGTTACCTTAAAAGTCTCATTTGTAACACTTTTCGACTTATAAAGGCACACGTTTTGACGTCTAATTTTTGTACTAAATCTCCCTACTCGAGGTATTCTCGAAAAGCCCATATTCACCATCTGGCTAAATCCTGAAGCGGCGCCAGAAACCACCGGAGGGTACGTGACATATGGATTAGAGGACGATGTGAACTGCGGACCGATCAGAGCATACGAATACTTCGTACATCCTTACTCGTATGCATTCACGGTACGTAGCGCAATTTCCGCAAAATCATTAGTAATTTACTATTAGGTTGTCCGGAAATTGATGCAGGTTTTGAATTCCAACCGCAATAAGTCATACACTTCTCATTTCTAAGTAGGTTGCAAAACATCATTCGATAGAGCAAAGCAAGCTCTACAAGAGGGCATTCTTGATTTAGCAACAGCTCTGATCCACCACGAGTTTTGAGCCAAAAACTAAGAAGATTCAACTGCCCGAAAAATTGAGAAAAATCGTAATTCAGTTCATAAAAATTCTGCAAAAATTCTAACTTGCTTACATAAACACAATGCACATAGGGCATCTACATACGCCGTTGCCGTTTTTTTTTCTCTGTTAGAAATCAAGAAAACGGAAATTTTCGCGCATCTGCCAAAGTGATGCTACGCCGTTCCCACATAAGCAGTTGTATACTACAAGCCTGTAGAAGTACAAACGTAAATTTTCAGCTTTCTACAAGCTTTAGTTCTCGAGAAATTTGAATTTTAGCTTGGACCATCTGACTAGGGAAAACTATATTCGATATAACTCGAGAACTAAAGCTTGTAGAGAGCTGAAAATTTGCGTTAGTACTTCTATAGGTCTGTAGTATACAGCTACTGATGTGGGAACGGCACAGCAACACTTTGGCAAATGCACGATTTCCGTTTTCTTAATTTCTAACAGAGAAAAAAAATACGGCAAAGGCGTATATAGATGTCTTATGTGAATAGTGTTTACGTGAGCAAGTTAAAATTTTTGTAGGTTTTTTAGGAACTGAGTTACGATTTTTCTCAATTTTCCCAGCAGCTGAATCTTTTCAGTTTCTGGCTCGAGACTCGTGGTGGATCAGAGCTGTTGCTAAAGCAAGATAGCCATCTTACAGAGCTTGCTTTGCTCTATCGAAGGGTATTTTGCAACCTACTTAGAAATGAAAAGTGTATGACTTATTGCGGTTGGAATTCAAAACCTGCATTAATTTCGGGCAACCTAATATTTTCTTTGCAAAAGCAGTTCCAGGAAAATCAGAAAGATTTTTTTACTGTTACAAGCTTGCCATAGAATTGAATTTTGCTAAAACTCTAGACAGCAATCGCTACTGTTATTATCGAGAAAGGGTTCGTCACATGACAAACTACTTCAAGGAAACTAACTAAACTATTTGCACGAAAACTATAATTTTATAGTAAAAACGCGAACAAGACAGCGAAAAAATTGTCAAGTAATGGGGTAGATTTACGCTTTCATAAATGAGGGAGTGCAAATTTTTTTTTTACAAAAGGAAGATACCTTTAGAACCATCTTCTTTCGATGAATTCCCTGAGGTGTACCAAAACCTTTGCATCTGCGGAGGAAGGAATGGAGAAGGTGTGGAGGAAAGATACTCAACAAAAGTATACAAATCTGCTAGAAACTTGTAAAGGTTATTCAAGATGAAGATTGCCAGATTAAATGCCTTCTAAACATTAACATTTTTGTGAAGTAGTACCTTACCGAGAGCTCAACCGTACAGATTTTAGAATGTGTCATAATTTCTTTCTCAACAGCACGTTAAAGCACCTCCAGCTGAAACTCAGTCAAGGATCAAAAAATATTTAGAAAATCTCAATCTGTTGTGATGCAACAGAAAGTGGAATCATTACCCATAGTAGAGTTAAGTTATTATCAATTATGTTCCTCATACAGTCACAAATTAGCATGGCACAATTGGTGCCTACAAGTGGCGTATACCGAAGGGGGGGCCCCCCCCGAGAAGGGGTCGCGAAATTTTTGAAAGTCACTTACATGGTTATGAAATTATGCACTTGTAAACAATCAAAATAATTTTTAACATTTTCAAAAAATTTATTTTAGCCTTATAAAAAATTTTTTTGGGGGCGTGCTTCGGGGTTTTGAGCCCGCGAAAATCTTAGGGGGGGGGGGGGGGAATTTTTCGGAGTGCCTCGCTGACGCCACGCACCTTCATCGGAAGAATTTTTTGTCGCCCCCCCCCCCCTCCCTCGAGCCGAAATCCTGGGTACGCCACTGGTGCCTACCTTTACCATCGGCTTAACCCTTTGACGATGAGCCATTTTTTTGAGGTCTGTCCGTGAGGACGAGACGTTCTCATGCATCCCTACGCCTAGCCGCATGCATGTATGCATGCATCCATGCACGAAATATAAAATGTGCAAGCCCCGCCCCCATGTGGCTAGCTCCTCCCAAAAATGCCGGAAATTGCCCAAATTTTAAGAATTCATGCGAATTACGCCACTTGCGAAAAATGGGCGGAGCTTTCCACTTAGGAGCGGAGTTTATCTGACATTGGGCGGGCATTGGGCCCGGTTGAAAGTTGCTTGAGGTCTTTGCATTCATCTATGGCCTCATCCATGCTTCTAATAACAAAAGGGTCCTTGTAAGAGGCATGGGAATGGGCGGAGTTTGCCAAAAGGGGGGGGGCTAATACATGAAGTACATGTGAGCTTAGCTGATTCAACGAAAACTGAGAGTTGGACAGATAGTACTGAAATTAAGGCCGCCGCGCACTATCGTGCGTCGTCGTCCACAGGGACAGACTGCCTGCCGCGCACCATTGCGCGGCACTGTCGTCAATGTGTTAATTTATGCCAAGCTCATCGTTTCCGAAACTTTTTTGTAAACTGCGATAATTTCGTAGCAGGAAGCTTCGTCACCCTTTCATAATTCAAGTCTTTCGATTTACGGGTCAACTTAAATAAAATGACATCATGACTCAATGCAAGACCACTGTTATATTTGAAAGAGGACTTGAGCCTATAGAGACTACAGAAAAAATGCTTCAAAAGTCGCTCATATAAAGGAAAACTCATAAAGAACTCAAACACCTTGAAAAACATAAAGAATACAGTACTGCAGACTGCAAGCACATGCATTTCTTCATGGGAAAACAATTGAATTAAGTCAACCACGTTTTATTCCTTAATTTATGGGGTAAGAAAAAAATGGTTTTCCAATGGTTTTTCAGTTGAGATGTGGAGCTTAATTATGAGCGTAAATCTCTGCATATAACTGCACGCACTCTCAATTTTTCGTCACTTTCTAGTGCTTGATTACGGCAATGCCGATTATAAGTGTATTAGACTAGTATTCATTGTATACTTCCCCTAACAATCACAGCTGCTCCTTTTGACACAAGAAAGACGGCGTTAAGCAATAGTTTCGGCCATGCATTCAGGTTTTTTCTTTGAAAAACTTTCCCCCGCAAAATCTGCTTCGCATTTAGAGAAAACAAACTTGTTATTTAATTACTTTTAATTAAATGCTTTCATGGCCTTAATTAGAAGAATACATGTGTACAAGCCGCCTCCACCTTGTTTGCCAATTCTTTGCAGATATTTGCTAAAAAACGACCACTGCTCCTTGCCTCAGTTCTTTTTTCAAAAAAAAAAATCTATACGCCTGAAACACCTTTTCCCGCGATGAGAAGACCGGATTCTTTGTTGTCTCTAGCCAATGAAGTAGAATAAACCAATTTCATGCTTTGAATGAGATCTGCATTAGTCCAAAAATCATAGTATTATACAAGTTCATATTTTTTGCAAGAAAAAAGTGTGTAACATCACTATTAGCCTCTTCATTCTTGAGCAAACTAAGCATTCTGTTGTTCTATGAATTATGCAGTGTGTGATATGAAACCTTTTTGAAGCTGATTTGCTAAGATAAAGGAGTCGAATAATATATTTTAATGAAAACAGGAATCATCGCTTAGCAAAAATCATATCGCTCAAAGGCTAAGCATCGTAGGAACAATTAGCATAAGCTAAACTTTTAGGTGGAATACATTGAGATGAAAGATTTGTATATCCACATTTGGTCATCTGCAGAGATGGATTTGGGTCCTTTTCTAATTTTACCGGAAACAGTTGCGGGTGCTATTGCAAAAATGGCCCAAGCTCAGGTAATGTAGACACCTACGATTTTACCTAATGTCTGCTATTTGTAGTACGATCCCGGAAGCAGTCTTTATTGGATTGATTGCAACGCCAAATTTCCGGACATAAAACTTGGTCGCGTATTGCTCTTCTATACCATACGGGCAAGCGATCTTATCATCAAGGTATCTACTTTAAGCGTTTGGTCAACCAGTAATGCGACAATGCGAAAAGTTACGCTCGCAAAATTGATAGTCAGCTGAAACTTCGTTTTTAGGTTCACTGCCCATTGACCTTACTTAGCATAATAGAAATATTTCAGTTTTCTAATGATTTATGCGTATTGGCTGTGGTTGAAAGAGTGACTCCTTCGATGGGGCCGATGCTTATTGGTGCACCATTTTTCTATCATTATTGTGTAGTTTTCGACATCGCTGATAAAAGGCTGGGAATTGCAGAAGCAAAAAAGTTCGTTTTGGCACACTTTATATAAAACTAAGTAAGTGATGGATGTGTTTTTAGCCCATCCACAACGATTGCACCAGAGACCACAACAATAACGGAAGAAAACACCTGCAAACCATTGTACTCCAGATTCATGAGTGCAATGCTTCTACTGTCTTTAACCTATTGCACCATTCTAGTTTAATGATAGGAATTTGAAGATGAAAATCGTATTTTTCTCTAACACTTACCGTTATGTTTGAGCTACCATAAATGTTTGTGTTTCTACGAGTTGAAGCTTTCAGACTTATGTTATGTCCTGTCAAATATTTGAGCTTTTTGAAGAGCTGGCTGTTTTAGTCCGATAGCTTCCCAAGAGTTATGTCATTAAAAAATTCAATCATGCTGTTAGTATAACAAAAAATTTTTCTTGCACGTAGGATTATCAAACCCATAACTGGGAATCATCCAAGTTTCTTCAGTGTAAATTTTACGATGATCAAGCTAGTCCTAATTACAACTGAAAGACATGGTTTAAAATGAATACACCTTTTTTTTTTGAGCCTCAGCTCGGAGAGATTGCAAACAATCACATTGATGATTTATAAGCTAACAAATACACATTTTTAGTTTTGGAGAGCTTTGCCAAAAGGGCAGTGCTTATCCCGATTAGAACCTACGTTGTTCGCCAAATCTGAAGAATGTTAATCATGACATGTCCGCAATTTCTTTAGGCGCAGGAGGCGTGAAGATTTTTCTTACAAGGGAAGGATACTAATTCAGATTCGCCTTTTGAGATGGCACACATATATTTGGAATCAGCTTTGAACGCTAATTCCAAATATACTGCTCCTAGCTGCTTACAAGGGAGGTGTTTTCGGTCGAAGTGGCCTTTTCAAATGGAATTGATACGACTATAAAGAGCATCAAACGCTGATTCCAAATCTGTCTTCTTTATCTGCCGAGCGCCCCTAGACGTCGAGTTATGAGCGTTTTTTGAGTTGAGAAATTAAATGCATACTTAGGACAATATTCGTCAGAATCGCTCAAATGGTCCAATGTTGATTACCAAAGAACTTTATTTGAACAATATCTTTTATTCAAAGCATTCATACTTAACACTGCTCTATTTGAGCGCTGAGAAGACCGTAATTTTTATTTTACATAGATCATGCGTTCATTTTTCACACCAAGAAAATATTCATAACTCGACGTCTAGAGGCGCTCGGCAGACAACGAAGTTTGATGCTCTTTATAGTCGTATCAATTTCATTTGAAAATGCCACTTCGACCGAAAACACCTCCCTTGTTAGCACTATTCCGAAGCGAGTTATGGGATTGTTATTGTGAGAAACTAACAAACTTCTGAATGTCGTAAGACGGCGTGTAGGTAAGAATGTGCTCGAAAAAAGTGCTAGGATGTTGGACTAGCATCAAACTAATTCTTCCAATCTTGAAAGAAAGCATTACACAATGACAAAACCACGTAGACATCGACACCGTAGCATCAGAGGTCGAGGAGCACACAAAATCTGCGTAGAAAAGAGACCATAACTCGCTTCGGAATAATGCTAAGCAGCTCAGAACAGCACATTTGGAATCAGCGTTCCAAGTTGATTCGAAATATATGTGTCGCATCTCAAAAGGCAAATCTAAGTCAGTATCCTTCCCTTGTTAGTTATACATGACATTTTCTCAGACAATCAATGGGAACTTCCCGAGGTCCGTGAGGGAACTTTCCTCGGGTCACCTGCGGAAGTTCCCGTGAAGCGCTCGGGAAGTTTGCAAAAAAGTCCTCGGGAAATTCGCAAGAAGTGGGAAATCTCCCGAGAACTTATCTACAGAACTTCCTGAGGGCTTCACATTGGCTCCGCGTAGCTGTACCGAACCTTCTTGATGAATCCTGCTACTTCATAAAGCCGCACCCTTAGTACAGCTACTCAAAGTAGTGTAGTAGTAAGGGTGGAGCACTAGTAGTAGTTATACGCAAAAACAGATATGCTCCATCATTTATTGTTATAGCAGTAGATATAACATATCGACGGAGGGAATGGGAGAATTTCTTCAAGTTCTTAAAAGATCGAATTACAGTAGCCCGGATAATGCGTAAGGAGTATCATATTGATAGTGAGATATGAATTAAGCATGTAGTGAATATAGAGGTAAGCGGGGAGTAAGTAAATGAAGTACTGATTAATGAGAAACATGCTTAACTAATGAGGCAAAGGCACGATGTTACATGAGAAGACTTATGATGGATCAGAAATTAAACATCAGGTTCAAACAGGACAGCGACGGGATCAAATTCCACTACTGTGTAGCGCTTTCCTCTTCCATTCTGACTTCGTCATACTTGCCTTGTCCTCTCTACCAAATCCGACCTGCGTAGCCTTGTATTTCTGGAAAACAAATTTTTAGTATAAAAACAACTGAGACTAAGTTTGAACCTTTGAAGGCACAAGTTTTCCCTTGTCGAGGCGATAATAACGGACATCCTCGCTGTAAAACTGAATTTAGAAGCAGAAGACGATTCTGGAAAACTTACAGTGCTTCTGCGATACAGGTCCTGATTTGGCCGCAGTAGAAAGTTTTTTGCTCCAGCAGATAGTTGAACTTTTTCTCGCGTTCTTCATCGGATGTACCCAGAGAGATCCAGTAACTAAATCATTTGAGTAGGTAAAGACTGCTTACGAAACACCAACGCACCTAGTGCGCAAGCTTCTTATCGAATTCAATCTGTATCCCTCCAAATCCTCGTTGCCGAGGCTAAGCGCATCCAATACGAAATCTAAAGAATGATTTGAATGAGAATTTCTTACATGACTAGTTTCGTACCGTTGAGTGTGATAACTATGGACTCAGGCAGATCTTGTAAATCCGGCTTGCGCGATACATTAGATGTACGATGAGCAAAATTCCATATATCTGAGGGATCTGGTCCACAAACCTACAAATCTCGCTGTAGTCCACTCATATTTACTTAACTAGATTTTTTTATTATACTTACATGTTCATTGGTTATGAAAGTTATGAACATGAATGGTCAACCTGTCTGAAGATCACACGTAAAAAGTCATTGATGACGAGCGAAGTCTTGTGTTTGACTCTACTCGGAGCTGTGTAGCCGGCGAGAAGCTCGTTGAGGTTTAGTTCCTATGATAAGCATAATTGGCTTTGGTTAATTTTTGATCCTAACTACCTTGAATGGTGAACTACGCTTGGTTATGTGCTGTTTCTTGAGATTATCAGGGCTGAAGCTTATGGTGGAAGAGGACTCGCTGATTCCGCTAGTAAGCTTGTTGCAGATCTGTCGCAGTACATGGATTTGAGACTCGAGATCTCTGTTCTTTGTTAGCAGAAGATTAACCTGTAGCGAGCAATGCTGATTCAAATGCTTAAGCGTGACGAATCCTACTTTCCCCCTTAACCGATACATAAAAGTCGTCACAGCTGCACTCACCAGCACGCGGTTGGATATCGCGTTTTCTACCAAGAGCCGCGTTGTTTCGATGTTATCAAATAAAGAAATACCATGCCTAGAGCGCTCGGCGCTCTGCACCAATCTAGACAGATCCTGTAGATCGAACTGAGTTAATGTTGAGAAAACACCAAAAGAGAGATGGACATCGATGGATGAGGTACCGAATTTGAAAAGCAAACAAATTACTACGCTTGTTCACAAAAAGCAGATCTGAGGATATCCATGAGAATTACACACTTAGTACAGGCAAATTTAAGCTCATGGAAATGTGTGTTGTTGAGAGAGACAGTACGATTCAACTAAAAATTGATATGAGCTGACATTAAAAAATGGCTCAAAAACTTCCCGCTAGAGCTTTAGCCATACTTTACCCGTGTTACCGTGTTACTGGTCTTACCCGTGTTACTCGTTTACTCGCATTACCATTGTTACTAGTGCTACTCGTATTACCCGTGTTACTCACTCGCCACTAGTCAATGAGATCGCGTTCTAGAATGAGCCTGTATCTGTGATCATTTCACTACTTAAAGCACTAAAAGCGGTAAAAGCAGTAACACTAGTAACATTAGTAACACAGGTTACACCGGTAACATGGGTAACACGGATAAAGTTCGGCCAAAGCCTAATGGATCTATAAATTTGAGTAGCAAAAGATTCCACCAAACCAATCGTGCAAAAATACACTTATCACAGCTTTAGTTTCAACCATACAAAAGCGCTGTTTCTGCTGTTAGCAGGCAGCGTTTCCATCGTCAGTTGTTATCGACGTTCTGTTGCTACTGTTGTTAACCACTACTGCTGCTGTTATTTGCTACCCCTGCTACTGCTGTTAGATGATGGAACGAACAATCAAGTCTCATTTCTCCATACAAGTTTTCAATGATTAGGTAACAGCAGCAACATCAGTAACAAGGATACAGCGGTAACATCAGCAACAGCGGCAACAATTGATAGTGACTACGAAGTAGTGCATGGCAAGAATCCAAATAGACACAAAGAAGAGATTTCAATCCATAAAATAAACAAAAAATGTGAGTGAAATACGAAATGTCTTAGTAGGTTGCATGAAGCGGAATGTGGGTGAAGAGAATAGAGGGTGAAAGAGAAAGTGGAAAGATGGGAGGTGAATAAAAGATCCTCGAACAACTTCATTACTCTTGCTTAAAGATTATTGTATATTCTCATTAGTGATCTCTAATGTGCACAGCTTCGGAAAGAAAGCAAGAGAGCAGTGCTAAATCAGAGAGGAAAACAGGAAACTTTAAGAAAAGAAAGAAAGAAAAGCAGTGCTAAATCAAAAAAAGAGAAAGAAACATTATCATAGAAGTGAGTTGAAGCATAACTAGTGTCAAATAAAGCGCAATCACGCTCACCTGAAAGTCGACTTGTGCCCTCAAAGTAGAAGCCTTGAACTATTTGTTCGTCGCGACTATATTCGGCTGATGCCCTTGCTCTGAAAAAATTCACGTTAGAAAAGAGGAAAGAAGAGATCTAATATGCAAAGAATCGTAAGCGCAGTTTGAAAATCATCAAATCGCGAGAAACCGCGGTGCGGTCCCGAAGCGCACGCACATATAGCACCTTCACATAACTGCTTCACTAGTAGGAGGAGAAAAGATCGAAATTACAACCACTCAGCTAGGAACCAGAATCTAAATACTACCTAAGATAACACTCCAATTTGAATTGCTAAACTTTCACCATCTATAACAGATTGACAGACT